TGATGCAGTTCTTAAGATGGCTACTTTATCAGAATCCACATGAAAAGACAGAAAACAGGAATTTGTCCAGGTTTCAGTATATGTTTTTTTTTCTTTATAGGGTTCTCAGTCAAGCAGTTTCCTCTGTTAGGGTTTCTAATTGTAGGATGAGAAAGTTGGATCCCTATGGACCTTTATACCTTAGAATCCAGCTATATGAAGGACATGACTGGGCAACTTTTCCAGCATGGGATCCCAAAGTCCCTTCATAAAAATGGATCACTACCACTCACCTTCCTCTTCAGCCTCTCAAAGTGCTGGGTTACTCATGGTCTAATCAGGACAACAGAGAGACCACCAGGTGAAATGTTTAAGAAAAAAATGACTTGCAAAAGTTGTTAGAGCTGTTGGAAGGCAGAGGGGCTGGGAAGTCCCCAGATTGACAACAGCAGGCATCTTCTGTGAATTCTAGGAGAGGAAGAAGGCCATGTTACCAGTCCAAGCCAGCTGACAGAAGCAGGAATCATGGTGCAGGAGATGGAAGCAACCAAAGTGATGGGAGGAAGGACAGTGTGGACAGACCTAGAGTTTCAGAGAAGGTGCAGTCACTGATAGAAATGCTGCTCCATTCAGAAAGAGGGCATCAGAGTTGGGCATCGCCCTCTCACTGACTAGTCTCAGAGTAGAAAATGGTTGCAAAGAAGCAGGAGAAATGGATCTGTGGGCCAGCTGGCAAATACTGGACTAGATCCTCATCTAGTTTCACTTTCTGTAGTTAACTGCGGTCCAAAACCACTAAATGCAAAATGCTAGAAATAACCATGAGTTTTAAATAATCTTTATTACAATATATTATTATAATTACTGCTTGGTATTGAATTGTTTTTAATCTCTAATTTATAAATTAAACTCTAGGTACATTTGTATTAGAAAAAACAAAATGATGTATAGGGTTTAGTATTATTTGCAGTTGAGGGTATTTATGGGAAGTCTTGGACCATATCGTCCCAGTGTAAACTAAATGGCAGGAACAATCAAAAGGCCCTGAGTCTACTTCCTTCCTTCCAGTATTTACATCCCAGAGTTCATAGATGCCTTCAGACATTCCTACAATGAAGATACTATTCTTGGGTCTTTTTAGGTAGCTCTTCTTAATAGTTAAAAGCTTCTTGTACCGTTGTTGTATTTCTCAGGATAACATCTACTCACATACTCTACCTCCCTGTCTCCTACAACCCGCAGCAGTTTCATTTTTCCTTAGGCATCCTATGCTGACATTTCATGCAAGTTCTGTTCCTGGCAGATTTTTGGTCTTTTGAAGACAGAGATACTATCTTACTCATATTGGCCTCAGTTTGTGTCACTAAGAGGCTTCTAGGAACGTGGGGCCAGAATATACACACCAACAGTGTTAGCTGATCAGTGTAATTTGTTAGAGAACCTCCCTGTCTTCCTATAGTCTGTGATCTTGGCCAACTGATTGAACAAATTTATAACACAGCATACATGCATGACTGTCTCATCAGGCAACTTGTACAACCCAGCGAGGCTGCCCCATATTGTCTGATGGGAAAATAATGCATGTACCACTGGCTATGTTCTGCAATAGTAAAACCCTCACGATCTCAGCAGCTAAAATTCCATAAAGGTTTATTTTTGCTACACTTTTATTGTGAGTCACTTGGGATGTGTCAGTTCGCCCTTTGGCTCCTGGCTGATAGATAGATCATCTTCCATCTTGAATATTGCTATACCCTTTGTCAAAAGAGAGAATTTGAATACAATGGGATGGATGGTAATTTAATATTCACCTGGATGTGTCGTGTCACGCGTCCTCACAACTTTGTGGTTGAAACTAGTTAAATGGCCTTGGCTACTTTTAAGTAAGGCAGAGGAAGATTGGGAATATTTGTTGATTTGTACTACTGACAGGTACAGAGGCAGTAAGACTTGTCTTTTCACAATTGTTTAACTACTAGGGAAATATTTGCACTAAAGACACTAACTTGACTTTAAGTGGTTGTTTAACCATTAGATGCATGAATGCTTAGTTACTGCCTCCCACAACATAAATGCTTAATTGAAGCAAATAAATTATTGTTATTAGTATTTAACAGTTTATATTTGTTACATTTCCAGCATACTTTATACCCTCCATTTGCATAGCAGATTTTGTCTCATCTGTTTTTTTTTCTCCCTCCTGAAAATGCAAGTAAGTCAACTAAGAAAATGCAAGTAAGTAAACTAAATTGTTCCTTTCTGGACTTAGCATAAATTATCAATAAGCGGGGTTGATTTAATGAACTTTAGGCCTTAGCAATGACCCCACTCTTCCAAGTTGTAGAGTTAGCCCCAATACATGATGATAGTATAAGAAAATTAGTTTGTGGAGTAATAGTTTAGATTTCAGTACTGGCTTTGGAACTATACTCACTGTCTTGGTTTTCAACTTAAGAACAATGAACTTTAAGCCAATTTTCATTTGAGTCAGTGTAGAAATGGTCACTATGTATTACATGTCGATGAAGCTGGTCACTGGATCAATTGCAATTAGTTTGCAGTAGATTGCATTAACATATCTAAAATTAATACTGCAAGTGCACTAATGGAAAGGGATTGACCATGATCACACTGTGGCTGTTTTTAGTCTCTTTCAAATTTGCTTTTCAAACTATATTTTTTTCTTTGGTTAATGGCTTTCAATTGGTTTTTCAATAGACTTAATTTATTGATCCTTCCCATTTGCTTTTTAAAAGTGATCCCAGTTAATGGCATGTATGTAACATTTAATATTTTCTTTCATTGCAGTTTTTACTAAATGCTTTTAACTTGTATTTTTCTTGCACTGTTATGTGGCAGGCTATAAATAATATTGAGTCTATGTGTTCATTTATGAAATTTGTTTTTTATAGTGTTTCATTAAGAACTTAAATATTTAAAAGTAAGATTATCATAATACTCAGTTGAGAAGTAATATATGGTAAAGGATGTGAGGATTGCTTTTTGGCAGTTTGTTTTTATCCCAGAATTGTTTTTTCTAATGAATTATAGTCAGCTTCATTATTAGAAACAATATTACCATATTTGAAAGGACCAGAAGAGGTATATTTAGCCTCAGTCATGTTAAGATTCGAATTTTTCACAAGTATGTATAAATCATGTCTAGTTTAGGTCTTAAGGACTAATTCACATTTTTCTATTTTTAGAGTTGGTTATTTTTTGGGAATAAGCAGTGCATCATGGGAAAAAGAAAGGGTTATTCATTTTTTCAACTAGTATTTTATATATGCCAGGTACCATTGTACTGTAATTCTTAAAGATACAAAAAGTATGTGGCACATTCTGAGGTACTCTTCCCATGAATAGAAAGAAGGTAGTTGTGTGGTTCCTGTTGTAGGGTCCTGAAGCCTCTTTGAATTCCCCTTGTTAAAAGAGTGCATTAGTATAGTATAGCGTGGCGATTCCAGAAGAAAACAACAGGCTACCTGGGATGTTCTGAAAGCTAAAGCTTCAAGGTATTAAACTTTGAGACCTTAGTTGCCAGGGGAGTGTGTCTGATACTGCCTTGGGCATCTCTCCAGGCCATGACAGAACCTTCTACAGCCTGTATCATGAGATTTCCATGTTCTGCCTGTCTTGATATCTGGTCCTCCGATTTATTATTTGTTTTTTAGATTACATTAATGACATCATCGTCCATCTGCTTGCAAGTTTTTGAAAACAAGTGTAGCTAAGTATTCATTTTTCCTGTAACTTTTTTCATTTAAAAATGGTGGTTGTAGGTTTGATAAGGAATGGTATACTGTTGGAACAGAAATTTCCCTGTATTCTCCATTTTGACTGTGTTCTTTAATTTAATTGATAGTGTGTATTGGAAAACAATTTCAACTTGAAAATTAAGACAACTGTAATACACTTGTTGTAGTGTAGGAACTAGTCTAATTAATGGAGACTGATGTTATTGTACTCAGCATTGGTACATGAAAGAGATAATCTTTTTAAAATCAAAATGACTGTATCTAGGTTCCATCAAAAACCAAAGAAATGAGTTAATTATGGCCCAGTGGTCTTGGGAGTTAAAAATGTTTTCCTGAGGTATGTGTTGGCACCTGATTGTAGTCTCAGGTGCTCAGGAAGCTAAGGCAGGAGGACAGGAGGATTGGGGCTAGGTTGGGAAATCTAGCAAGACCCTGCTCCAAAATTTAAAGGTCTGAGGACATAGCTCAGTGTTAGCTTGCTCACATTCAGAATGTCCTGGTTTTCACCCCCAGTACAAAAAAAGAGAAAAAAGAAGAAAAATTCCTGACACACTTTATAATGATTTTATAATGTTATAAAAATTCCTGAGGCACTTTATAATGATGTGCATACAATTGTTAAAGTAATATGTTCTTTGACTATTTGGGGAGTGAGTAGGCTATAGATAGGGGAATGACCGTGAACCTTTTAGAGTTTTTAATGATAACAGACCACACACTGTGGCACGCATGCCATGTATTCACCACCATTGTAATAGGACTTTTAATAGCTTTTAAGAATAACTTTTAATTTATAAATACCACAGAAAGTTGCAAAAGAATTTTTTAAATGTTTATCCTTTGCTCCCTTTCTTCTTATATTGCCATCGTATGTAGTTTATACAATATCAAAAGAAGGGAATATGCATGAGTATGTTCCTGTTAACTAGGTTGCAGATCTCACTCTGTCTTCACCATTAAAAAAAAAAAAAAGCACTTATTTGTGTATGTGGTTGTTTTGAATAGATCTCCCCCGCCCCATACTCAAACTCATGACCTTGCCCTTGCCAGACAGGTACCTGTGCCATTGAACTAAATCCCCAGCTCCTGAACAGTTTTAATTAAAAATAATCATGAAAAGTTTGTATAGATATATTTTTTCTTTTGCTTCTTATAAACTGTGTTGCTCATTTCTATTTGATATTGCCTATAAGACTGGCCATACAGGTTGACTGTTACTTTTCCTGTTATTCTTATTGTACCTGTTTCCTTCAATTTCTCTAGGCAGTTCAGTGCACCTCGAGAAGATGGCTCAACCTGCAGGAATACCAGAGCAAGAAACTGATGTGTGACAATGGAGTGAGAGTTCAAAGATTCTTTGTAGCAAGCACTGCAAATGAAGCTCTGGAGGCTGCTAAGAGACTAAGTAAGCTAATTTATAACAGGAGAAATATGCTTGCTCAAATGAATGAATTCATGGGTAGTGATTTCCCACTAATGAAGTTCCTTTGTTGGGAATTATACCAACATGGACACATGTAGGGGAGAGCTTTGAATTGCAAACACACAAAAAAATCCCAATTAGGAACATTTGATTCTTTCACATGAGATAGCAGCGCATGGATGTCACTCTATAGTAATGTATCTGAGTTTTCAGTCTCCATTCACCCACTTCTCTTGGCTGTTTTGTGGCTATGGGAAATAGAAGTTAAAAGGGTAGAGAATCCCATTGATGTAGGTTAGGCATGCTTGTTGACATTCTTTCTTAGGCCTCTTGGAAGCTGAGAGGAGGTCTTGTGACTGAGGAGAGCAAGGAGAAGGACATGTATTTTAAAGTCAAGGTGACTCTGGCTCATTGTTTTATTTTCCTTCCATTATCAGATCTGTAACTTTGTATAAGGTTCTTCTTTTCTTATCTATGGACCAAAGCTAATAGTGTTTTCTAGTGCTGATGTGTTTCTTTCAAGGAAACTTCCTTGTGATGATAGAAATTATGATTAAAGTCTCTAGATATGGACTGAGACATTAAGAATTAAACCTTGCCGGGTGCTTTTGTTATTGTCAATCTGGACTATCAGTGTCTAATAGAAATAGAATATGAACCACAAACATTTAAAAAAACATTTCTAGTAATCATATTGATAAGAACAAAAAGAGATAGGCAAAGCTAATTTTAATAATACACTTTATCCATTATCAATAGGACATATTTTTGTTATCTTCATAAATCTGATTAGGATTTTGTACCTGTAACACATCTTATTTCTTACTGGTCACATTGCAGATGCTGTGGAGTCACCCATAGCAAGTGGCTGCAGTATGGTATGGTGTAGGTCTGGGCAATAGAAGGATTTGCATGTGTATCTTTTGTGCCTTGGAGAACAGTAAGAACAGAAGACTTGTAGTCATTTGTGGTTTTCAAATGCTAAGTGTAGAAGTGGAGAACAACCTATATTTTAAAAAAATGAAAATTGGTTTCATTTTCAAAAAGTATCAAAGTGAGTTTTTCTGGTGAAAAACCTCATTGACATTACTAAGACTGGGGTAGAGCTCCTCAGTAAATAGTGATAGTAGACCCAGGACAGGAACTGGCAAAACTTTGCAGTGTGCATGTTCTTGTCATTGCAAGGTTGACAAGAACCAGGCCAGGGTAGCTTTTCCAGTCTTTCCTCAAGAAGAGTTCATTGTTTTGTACCCTTGTGGTTTGGGGACTAGAGAATGAGAGCAAAAAATGTAAAGCTCAAGTTGATCTTGGATCTCATTTTCCCTGTGATTTTCTTAAATGCAGTGAAGCACTAGTATTCTGGGCATAAGGGACCCTTTTAAGGGACTTCTAAAAGCCAGCTGAGTGCTTCTGCAGTCTTGTGGCTTAAGAATAGCACAGCTGACATGGTGTACCCTTTAGATTTCCATGGAACTGTAGACTTACTGAACTAATTAGCTTGGTTTATTTAAAAAAAATTATTACAGCATCACTTCATGGTTAGGGGTTATGTTCCATGCTTTTAAAATAGTTTTTGCTCTGGAGGAATTAGCAGTGTGGCATGTGTATGCTGGGGCTGGAGAAGGGGAGGGAGACTGTCAAACTTATGTAAAGGAAATTAAAATTAAACAATGCAAATAAACTTTTGAAGTAGTTAGTTTTTATCCTTGAGGAGTGGTTTCAAAAAATCAAAACTGGATAAAAGGAATCAAAAATAAAGCAGAGATTGAGAGTTCAAAGTGAATACAAGATTTGAGAATGAGGCAGATGCATGTGTGCACACACTTTCATATGTACACCTGTGCTATTCTTTGAGAGTGTATTTACTGGGAACTTTTCTGTGATCCTGCTTAGAGTTAAGCAGAAATTTAGAGAATACTACAGATTCCTGATTTGGTGAATGAATGAGTAATCTTTACTGTATTCAATAGTAGTTCTGTTGTTAGAAGATGTCTTTTGTTTTCTGTCGTTCAATAGTTTTGATCTGAGAGGAAATCTATAGCAATAGAAGTAGAGTTGCTACCAATTGTAGATGGTTGAAAGTGAAATGAGTTGATAGTAAATGAAAAAGGAAGTGTGTGTGTCACTGTTCCTGTGGTTGCTTGGAAGGGAGCAAAACAGGACGGAGTTGGCAAAATTTTGCAGTGTGCATGTTCTTGTCATTACAAGATTGACAAGAAACACAAATGACATTTTACTCAATAAAATAAATAAATGTGAGTTTGATTAAAACTGAATGACATACACATATCTTCCTAATTGTCCTACAAATGTGATTTCTACCTTATAATTTTGATATTATAACTAGGAGAAATTAGAAATTACATAAGATATTAGTGTGCCTTACATGCAGAAAATATTATATTTTCTGAGTATATTAGTATCATCACCCTCATCATCATCAGGAACATCTATTTCCAGGTAACTGATTTTTACCATGATTCAAATTCACAGACACATTGAGAAATAGTGTGATTGGTATCCTGTTAATCATGTGTTAACAGTTCATATTTTAAAGATTTGTAAATGATTAAAATCCAATTTACCTTTTTACTTTTTTCATATCGATATGTTTATAATAAAGTGACATCTTATAAAATATTTTGAAAATGAATGTTGTTTGCTATCCCTATGATTTCCGGTGTAAACTCTTGTGTGGATTATCTCACAGGCCTCTTTCTTTGGGTCTGAATCCATGTTCCTGGCTGCTTTTTTTTTTTTTGTCTTTTTCATTTTCATCGGTCCAGGGATCGAACTCACGACTGCCTGCTTGCAAGGCAGGCGCTTTTGCTGCTGAGCTAAATCCCCAGCCCCATCCTGGCTGCTTATTGACTATTTATAGTCTTTGGCTTTCCTTGCTCAAAACGAATTTATCATCTCTTGTTTACCACCAATCTTCTCTTTCGTTTCCCCTCATTTACTTAGTAGAGATAGCTTCTTGTCATTTCTTAACTCTCTTTGCCTGTTCTATTCAGTCACTTGCCAAATCCTGTTGTTACTAAGATGGCATTGTTATTTGATAGGCAAGGAAACAGGCAAGATGAGGTTAAACTACTTGCCAAATTAGAGAGCTGATAATCAGCAAAGATGGGATTTGATTCTAGCCATAGTAGATGTAATTACTTCCCCATCATTTTCCTCTTTGCTAACTTGATGATGGTATTCTTGGGAGATTGTTTTGTGTAGGTCAGCGTTTTTAAGATTGAAAATGCATATTAATAAAATTAGAAGATTCAATTAAAACTAGTCATGGCAGATTCTGTGGTGCAATTTATAGACACTAATCTGGAGATATTTTCTTAATGATCCATTGTGTCGCATCTCTTTGGGCAATAGAATATTTTGCTTATAGAAGCTTGTTAATTTGAACATTTTTTAAAAAATGGGTAGCGTGAAGCTTTTGTTTCTGATATGCAGTTCACAATGATAAAATATTAAAAGAGATCCTAATTTTCTTGCACTGAAAATGAACTTATGTTTGGCTGAGATAGTAAATTTGGTTTAGTGAATGAAGATTTTAACATGTAGATTATATTCATTTCTAGTATAGCTTATAAAAGCTACCTTTTGTTACCAAGTTTTAAGGAAGAAACTGTTTCCCTTGCATGCAATTATTTTAGGAAGTTTTATTAATTATGTATTATTCTTTTATGGATTAAAATAAATGAATATAATCAACAGATAATTATAGAACACCTACTGTGTGAATTACTAATTTTTATGTTGCTTTTCAGTTCTCTTCAAAGATAAATGAAGGATTGTGTCTCTGTGTAACTCAAAAGACTTTTCTTAAAAGAATATTTGCATATAAGCACAGATGAAACTTATCCCAGACCACTACCTTTCAGTTTTTGGAATCTTGACAATTTACTAATTATTTCCTTCATGTTGACAGGAGACTTTCAAGATTTGATTAAGCAAGAAAAAGTACATTTCAAAAATGCTACAATTTTATTTTTTTGTCAGGAAAGAAAATTGAAATGTGAATGAAGAAATTAATCTTTTATAAGTTAATGACATGTACCCTACATGCAGATAAGGAGCTTGTATTGAACGTGGCTAGTTTGATTTGCTTTCAGCTATAACATGTTTCATTTATCAATATGATTACTTATTTTCATTTTATGTAATCATGTTCTAAAACCTAGTGAATTACCTACACTATAAAGGAATTGTACTGTGTGTAAAAAGGGAATTGCTGCCCCTTGAGTGCTGATTGACATGAACTATTAATCCAGGAGGCAGTAACATACATTACCAGCTTTTCTGAGGCTGTGTGGTAGTATGGTCATATGACATTATGTAGTTAGGATGTTGCAAACAATTTTATGTTGTTTGTGTTGTGACGATAAACATTTTTGTTACACTGTGGCAGGCAAAGATAACTTTGAAATTCTGTGATGCAAAATTTTCAATTTTGCCAGCTGACTGTTATTTTGAATCTGGCATCAGTAATACAGAGATGCTGCTTGGGTGATGGCATATATGTCCCATCAGAGGTCTGCTTTCTAGGAATGACAGTGATATCCTTTCAAGACAGATGGCTCCTGTGGTGGGATTGATTACGCTTCTGGCGGCTTTTGATCCCCTTGATTTATTTTCGTTTTCTGAGCCTGATTGTCCGGCCTTTTTGATGATTATGTGAACTTCCAAATAACTTTTCTATGATTTAGTTTATGCTTATTTTAGCTATCATTAATTTTTGTTGCTTGCTGCCAGAAATCCTGACTCATCCAAATAGAGTACATTACTTTTCATAGATCCCAAGACACAGCAATTGCACTGTATATATTGTTGTTATTCAGAAAATTTTCACGAGTTAATGTTTATTTGCAAATGCTTCTTGAAGCAATACTGGAATTGAAATTAATGATTTGCTTTAACTGCATTTAGAAAGAGGATTCCATTTGACAAATAGTATCTTTTAATAAATTTCCAAGTGC